ATATATATATATATATATTATTTTTTTATGACCAGCTCTGCTGGTCTCACTGATCCTCTCCTCCGGAGCCAGGACGGGCAGGCTCATCCTCCCAGCTCCAGCTCAGCTGGTGACTCACAGAGACCGTTCCAAGACCCCAGCCGTGCGTAATCATGAAGGTCCGACCCGCGCTGACAGGCGGACAGAGACGGGTCTGCGACGAACGGTGGAAGCGATTTAAAAAACATTTTACGTGTAAAAAAATAATAATCATTTTTAAATCGCTTCAGCAATTTTTTAAAACATTTTTTGTATAAAAACAAAATATTATTTTTTTTAAAAATCGCTTCCAGCGTCCGTCCCAGACTGTCCAGTCCACCTGACTGCCGGGTGGGATCAGGATTCAGCCTTCATGATTACACGTGGCCGGGGTCTGGCAACGTCCATCTGTGAGTCCCCATCTCCAGCTTTGCAGTGACCAGCGGAGCTCTGAGCACACAAGGCTGGTATCCGGAACCCGAGCCTCCCAGTCGGCACATCGAAGGATCTTCCGCGGTGACCAGCTGAACTTGGAGCCGGGGAGATGACGCCCTGCCCGGCCTGGCGCGCCGAGGCTCCGGAGGGAGGATCGTGGTACACCAGCAGAGCTCCATCCAGCTTGCTCTGAATTATGTTGTCGGCCACCAAGCACAAAAAATGCCAGCACATCAGCATTAGACCAAGATGTTGTCAGTATTGTTTTAAAATCTTTAAAATAAATCCAGCCGCTGCTCCAGTTCGAGAAATTGCAAATGGCGGATTATTGTTTTGAAAAGTTTCTGAAGGATCCAGTGACTCCGCCCCCGACTCCGCCCCCAACCAGTCAGTGACCGACAGTGTTCTGACGTCACGTTTTAGTACCTCTTCGTTCGGGTTAGAACCACAGAGCCAAGGGTACTGAAAACAGTAACAGGTGCTAAGTACCGGTACTAATGGAAAAGCCTCAGAACCGGGCCAAGTAGGGTCCAGTCAGCCCGTACCGGTACTAATGGAAAAGGGGCATTAGAGCCTTATTTACAGTTTATTTTTACACTTTATATTTTTGCTATTGTTGGATACAACTGGGACCCTGTGTACACATTGGTGTTTCACCTCATGTATCACATGCGAATGACAATAAAGCACCTTGAATCCTTTAATCTTCATCCCTGAAAAAGTGACCCCTGGCCTGCAAATGAGTGTAGACCACAGAGTCCTGGCCTAATGTTGTTGGTCTTCTGTGCTAGGCCATCCTTTTGGCCAGTGTTTAGGTTCCCTGATGGATAACTATATAATTATTATTCTGTTTGTGCCAGGGGACTGGATCTTTGGGATGGATCAGTTTTTGCCGTAATGTAGTTTGAGGTTTTAAAGCCACTGGGATGTCATGTTTAGAAAATAAACATCCGAGTTTCTCTTGAACTCCTGCAACATACAGAATGACCACTGGTCTAGGTCTTGGATTGGGTTCCTCCTTTTTACCTGATGGCTGGCTAGAGTCATGTATGGGTTTATTTTCTGCTTTCAGGAAGGCCCAGTTAGGATATCCATATTTCTCCAGGGTTTGTTGCTGAATGAACGGGTGAGACAGACCAAGTTCACCATTGAAGCTTTAGAGACCAAAGAAGAATGCATTCAACAAAAACTAACAGCACACCTAGATCAGACCACATTCCAGCAGATGACGGATTTCACATAATAGGAATGCTTAGCCCACTTATGTCAAGTCCAAGACTCAATAACAAAATAAATTTAATTTACTGGCAACTCATTAAGCCCATCTCAATCCTAACAACAACTCACTCAATGGCAGGCAAGACACCAGAAGCCAGTCACACGCCAGGGAGACAGAAGTGTGCAAAGAATCTGTCAGACAGCTCACCCAGCCAGAGACAGAGATCCTTGCTAGGGGACTGAACTTTGCAGTTGTGCTAAGAATAATTGCTCTGTTGGAAACGATCACTTATAAGACTGAGTTTGCTTGTCTTCAGACTGAAGAAGTCTTTTGGATAAAAGACAAAATATTTCAACAAAGAAGAAGCTGTCCAGAAGACCTGACTCAACCTTGTTAGGTTTTGCAGTCATGTTTAATTCTGTCTCCATCTTTCACTTAGAAATATCTACACAGCTGACATTGGCGAGGTCCAACTCTAACGAATGTGGGTTACGACAACCAACTCAAAATGAAATGAATAAAAATGACCACATGGCTGATTGCTCCTTCTCTATTACGTGACTGCTCAGCTGAGAGGTGAACGCCATGCTGCTTTCACATGTTATCAGGTAGAGTGTTATTGGAACCAATATTATCTTTTTTGGGGGGGCTACCATGTTGTAATTTTGGAGCTGAAGCCATAAACATGGGTATGCATCATTATTACAACAGTCCCTACACCCTCCCAAATAGCTAACAGGCTGTCACACTGTCAATCACAGAGTAACACGAGACTCTTCTTTGTAGTTTTAACTTCCTGCTTCCTGTCCTTTCTCTACATATACAGTAATAATACATCTCAGTTATAAACCATGTGAGGGCAGAAAGATTTACCTCGTAGAAGCCTCTGACCAGTGCTTCAGTCTGTTGCACCACTCCTCTCTCCACTCTCCATTTAGCCATTCGCTCTATGTAATCCTTCTTGTTCTTCTCAGTTACCTGCAGGTGGGAGCCGCCTGACTTCAGCTCGCGCTCCGTGACCTGCAGACACAATCAGCAGAATGAGGAGCTAGGTACCATTCCAAGAAACTGGGATTGAAGTACTGAGCATCTAGTCCATTCTGTGAACATTGTGCTTAAAAATTTATATCAAAAGTTATTTAGTTTTACAACCGTCACAAAGAAAACTGAGACAAAGGCTGTTTTTCTATTCAACTCATCCGTCATATTACTTTTGTCCATAGTCATGGTCTATAGGCAACAAGTCCAGGAGGGAAATCCAGACATAAAATACAGTGTTGCAAGATGTGCACACAAAAATATGCCATGATTTTCAAAAAGCATTCACTCAGAACGCAGCCCCACAGCTCACTGGTTGCAAACACTCACATTCAGTCAAACTGCAACTGAAACAATCTGTTTACTTACAATCTCGAGTCATGAAGTACCGTATTTTCCGCCTTATATGTCACACTGTTTTGCATAATTTACATGCCGTGCGACTTATAGGCCAAAGCGACATATTTTGGATTTTTCCCATATTTATAAACAAATATTTGGCTGAGATATGACTGTTTTCATTCATTCGGACTGAAAAAAAAAAATTAAGCAGTACCACTTTCACCCACTTGATGGCAGGAGAGTAGTAGTAGTATGACTTGCTGTTAAATCACGTAATAGGTAAGCGTGGCTATAATGACAAATTCAAAAAAGTTCAAGACAAAAACAACTGGACTTTATTTATTATACTTTACTTCATACTTTATTGTTATTTTCTTGAACTTTTTTGAATTTACCATGTCCTGGATGACAGAATCTTCACCAGCTTTTAATGATACAATCAGCCTGCCATAGACCCCCACCTTCATTCTGCTCGTTACTTGGACCGACCGTCCAACCAGCTGCACCACCGCGGCAAAATGCAGCTAATTTGACCATTAAAGTGCATTTATTAATCAAACATTAAAACAACTCGTCGCATGCACGCGTTTACTTCCACGTATCGGGTTTTGAAATAAAGCTCAAAGTGCATTTATTAATCAAACATTATACTGAGACACACATTTACTATAATTTCGAGCAAGCAAATAAATGTTTTTAGGTGTTAATCTTGTTAATTTCTTGTCCTCCCGTGCACGTTCCCGCGGCCGCCATTTGGCAGCCCATCGATTTTTGCCCACATTTCCAGGTTGTCAGCGGTGACACATAATAGATGCGACGTATACGGTGAAGCGACATATTTATGGATTTTTCCACTTTATTAGACATATTTGGACTGATGCGACTTATAGGGCGGAGTGACGTGTACGGCGGAAAATACGGTAGTCTCGGGCAGTTACTGCACAGTAAGCTGGCGAACCCTCTACTGCACAGAGATGCAAAATGGCAACGTAGCCTTTTTACCAACAGAATAAGAATGTACATTGTTCCATTGATGTGCTATGTTGCCACATGGCAACTTACCCTAAAATAAACCCCTAAGATATAAGTTAATTCAAATGTATTTTTAGTGTGGGGAAAAAACAACAACTTTTATTTCAATTATGGAACAAAAATGTGTGAAGAAGAGGGCTAAAGGCCAGTATTGCCTTGCAGGTGATATTTAAACCAGGGGACTTCTTATTTTCTTTTTAACATCTTTTCAGTGCCATACTAGAGTTAATGCTGTTCTACAGTGAGCTGACCTGACCAAAAACCTCCTCATTAACAGTGAAGGTGAGGTCCAGGATGTCTGTGATGTCATTGTCCTTCATCCACTGCAGAGACTGGTGGAACTCCTCGTCCAGGTACTCCAGATCTGACAGGTCTGTCGCTCTGTGGGTCAGACAGAGCTCACATTTACAAACCAAGACACAACACCCTCAAATATCTGACAGTTTTTGCTCAGTTTTCTTGAAAAAATAAAAATAAAAATGAATAAAAAGTATTAGTACAGAGATGCAAACCTTTTTATAATACTGAATGTTTTTATGTTGCAGGTATTACCATAATATCTCTGCACTGTGGACATTTTGAAGTAAAAAAGACAGAAAGCTATAAGGTGAGTGAACACTAACAGTCTGAGGAGCGCCTTGTAGAAGGGTCTGGTGAAGAACGCATCCAACAGGTACTGGTGGATCAGAGCCAGGCCCAGAATGCGACCGCTGAACCGGAACCTGGACACAAACGCACCCAAAAAAGCAGAATTACAAAAACAACTCTGTCACTGCCACAGCTTTTTTGTAATCACATCATTTAATTTGATTGTCTTGAAGAAGGACTTTGTTTTTAAGTCAGAGACATACCAGCCACTGCGTACATCTGATCTGTAGCTTAACACAAGAAGCTGATCAGTCAACGCTGACACTGACTTTAGGCATCTAGTCTAGACAAGGTCAAACTATACCTAATAAAAAGGCCAGTGCGTGTTTACTGTAGATTTACACTCCTTTCACACTTTTGTGTATCTTTCTTGTATTACTGCAGCATACTGAGGTACGGGGCTGTAAAAATATATCATATCACCTTGTAATGTATCTGATCTACTAGCATACATAGCATGTTCTCCAGCAGGTTATCACACATTTATTTATGTAAAAAAATCTGAAGCATAGACTTTGAATTGTTAGATATACATAAAATGGGCTCTATAACAACAAAAGTTACTTAGCAGCAGCCCAGCAAAAACTAACAGCTTGTGGTAACGTTTTGTCTGCACTGCCACCGCACTGTGGCACTCAGTGGAGCTGGAGGTGAGCAACATGGAGCAACTGGCAGCAAAGATGTTGGGGGGTGATGCTAGAAGACTAACGATCACACATTACCACAGGCTCATAAATGAACTGAGACATGAACTTCACAGCTGGACACCTCATGGGTCAATGATCTCTACTGATTTTGAGATCATGGGGTCAAAGGTCACCCTTTTCTTTAAATAACTCTAACTTGACAGCCCTTTAACATCGATGTGTCAAACTGCACAACTAGAAACCACATGGGTCGATCATGATGGACCCAGGGTTTATCCTTATTGATCACAAGGTCGCCAGGTGAAAGGTCAATGTCACAGGTCAGATATTTTTCTGCTGTTTTCACCTTTTGGCTAATTTTAGATTTATTTAGATCCGTTCAGCTTTTTTTCTAGTAATTTCACCTTTCTTTGCTTGTTTCAACTTCTTGTTTTTCTGCTGTCCTCTTCTATGCTTTATTTATTTTAGCTTTATTCACTCCTTTCAATTTCTTTTTGCTAAGTTCAGATTTCTTTTACATGTTTTTGTTTAGCCTCTCTTGGCTTTTTTCAACACACTTAACAAATTTCAGCTACATTACTGCGCTACTCAGCTTTATTTTTTTAACACGTTTCTGCTACTTTTGTACTGCTTTACATTTTACATTAAGCCAAACTGGACGTGGTGGTGTTTTTTTTTTTTGGTGTGTGTGTTTTTTAAACTTTATTAACAACATAAAACAGAACAATGTACAATGAAGGGTCATTCCTGCGATTCGGTGCCTTTTGAGTACCCATGACATAATGTGGTATATTTTGTTTAAAGGTGGGCTAATATTTATTTTATTAATCTCGTCTTATATGTTTGACTCCCCTCCACCATAAAACACAACCATATGTACATAAGATGAATTTATCTAAAATAATGACATCTAATTTTAAATGTTTGAGTTTTCTGCCATGTTCCCTTTCATGCTTCCTGAAATTAAGTTACAATTCTAAGTAATAAGAACAAAAAAATTCATTTTTTTAAACTTTTTTTTTAAGTACTATTTATAATGGTTCTCATCCAACGACTTTTTTATGATATCAAAATATTTGTATGCTTAAATTATTAAAATAGATTGAGTCCCTGAGTCAACCGTCCACCCTGTTACTCTAAAATACCTGTCACCCCCGCTTTGGCTTAATGTAATGACCTTTTTTTCAAATGTTGTTCATTTATACCTCAGGGCTACCGTAGTATTTATTTTTTCTTTGCATCAATTTAAAATGGTAAATGGACTGTACTTGTATAACTACTTTGTACTTTCTATCTAGTCAAGATACTCAAAGCTCTTTACAACAATCTGTGCCTCATTTACCCATTCATACAGCTCTATACTAGATCTCTACAAAGTATAATCAGTACTTTATCACATTCATAAACCAATGGGACACATCAGAGGCATTGAGGGGTTCAGTGTCTTGCTCAGGGACACTTCAACATGTGACTGCTGGTGGAATCGAACCCCCAACTCTCGCATTGGAGGACGACTGCTCTAACCACTCAGCCACAGCCGCCCCATAAATTAACCAACTTAACTGAAGCAAACACTTCTTAGTTTTGTAATAGTTTTTTTACACAAGTTAAATACTTTTCTGGAGTTTATCAACATTTCTATGTGACAGATGTCTGTAGGACACAGCTTTCAGTTCTGACTGTATGAAAAATACAATATAAAATGACTTAATTTAAATGTTTTGGGGCGGCATGGTGAGGGTGGTTGACAAGTTCCACATTGTTGTACGCGGCCTGATACTTTCAACCTCCCGACAAGCAATGGTGGTTTGTTTTTTCTGTCTCTTTTTCTGGGAGAGTTATTATAAGTTAAAGTCTCAGACTGAAGAAGTTCTTTGGATAAAAGATGAAACGTTTCAACAAGAAGAATCTGTCCAGAGGACCTGACTCAACTTGTTCGATTCATCTACCTGGATTATTGATCATGCATCAGGACAACTTGGCATTCCTTTTTCTGTTTTATCAAACCTGTATTCAACTATAACTTAAGTCTAGACCACCACTAGTAGTTAGTGAGTACATCCACAGCCAGTTTCCTCTAAACTTCTGAGTCGAAGCCCAGCTAAACCGTGGTCCTGGTGTTTCTCATTGTGCAACAAACAGCTTACCATTCCAGATGGTTGTCAATGAAAGCAGACATGGGGCTGATCTGCACGGTGTACGTGTCATTAGCGGAGTATTCAAACAGGCCGTAGTAGGGATTAAAGAGCTCCTGAGACAAAAGGAAGAAGAACTCTCTGGACGGGCCGCTGTAGTCTAACCTGGTGAGATAACAGAAGCAGTTCAGATTTCTCAGCTTCAGCTCATAGATTGATGTTAAACTGCACGTAAAGCATCTCTGTCCTGTGAATGAGAGTGATATGAGCATCGTTTAGATATGAAAACACTTCTTTCAGCCATGTAACATTAAAAACAGTCTAACTGTCGTCCCTGTAGGACTGTATATGCATGATGTGTTTATAAAATGTTCTGTGTGAGGTTCTAGCAGGGTTCCGGTGGCGTGAAAGTCTGGAGAACGTCCTGATGAATGCGTCTCACCCCTCCTCCCCCAGGAAGGTGACGTAGAGTTTGTTCCTCTGCAGCTCTTTGCGAGAGTAAGCCATCACCTGGTTAAAGGTTCCCTCCAGCAGATGTTCTCTCCTGATCAGCAGCCTGCATCAACCACGTCGCACCAAACAATCAACCAATGATCCGTTAGCACTTTAGGCTTGGTTTGAGGTTACCACGAGGGCTTACTTGATCTTGCCGGGACCCTGGCCGTAGCCTTTAGCTTCTAGCTTCCTGTAGAAGTTTCGCAGTTTGGCTTCGAAGTCTCTGCGATAAGGAGCCGGGGCCCGGGCCCTTTGCAGTCCTGCACACACAGGCAGAGGTCAAAGAATAGATTTATTAATTTTCAGAATCAGAGTTCATATTGGTTAGAAGCCAAAATAGAGATGCTTACTGGAACTACAAATGCTGCTAAAATAGTAACTTGTTTGTTAAAGGTAAGTGGACTGTACTTACATAGCATCTTTCTATGTAATCAAGATACTCAAAGCTCTTTACAACACAATCTGTGTCCTCATTTACCTCCACACTCATTCACACAGCACTCATACAGCTCTAATCTACAGATTCAGATTAGATCTGTAATCAGTGCTTTAGATCACATGCACTGATGGGACACACATCAGAGGTAGTGAGGGGTTCAGCGTCTTGCTCAGGGACACTTCAGCATGTGATTGGATAGTGGTGGAATCAAACCCCCATCCCTCCCATTAGAGGATGACTGCTCTAACCACTCAGCCACAGCTGCCCAAAAGGTTTGTGAGTTACTTCAAGATGACATCATTAAGAGAAAAGGTCAAAAACGGAAAATATTTCTAACGTGATCATTTTAAAGTTATTCATAAATTCATAAATGTTTTTGTTATACTGCATAAAAAAGAAACAGCGGGTCTTGATTGGCTATTGTCTGGTGGAAACAGCCCCCGTCACCACCATGAACACAGTTTGACATTAAAATCCTGTATCAGACAAAAATGAGACATTCCCTCCAAAAAATTCAACTGGTCTGTTCACTTGTTAAAGGAAAATCTGATTCTTCACAGTGGTAAACATGTCCTGTCGCTAATTTATTAAAAAAACGTTGCTGTCAAAATTCCCTTAAAAATGTACAATAGTTTAAACATTTATTATGTTTATTAATGTTAATTTTAAAGTAAATGTGAGTTAAAGACTTGCAAATCATTGCATTCAGTTTTTCTTTAGTTTTGCACAACATCCCAACATTTTGGGATTAGAGGTTTCATATTGTCACTGCTACATGTATGCTGTACCTCTGGACCGAGTTCAACAAAGTTCATGACAAAAACCAAGCAGAAGTATTTACTGGTTGAAACTGGTTTCAGATGCTATGTGTCAGGGCATCCAGTCTACTTTTGGTCTAATCGCTTTCAGGCTCAGAAAAAGTTTTCCAGTTGCTTTTTACTTCATTAAAAATATGAGCAACATAAACCTGAGGGTCAAATTATTTAATTTGCATAAAAATAACTGCAGACTGGATCAGTGGTTTAGTTAAAGCGTGTATTCACGCTGTCTGCAGCGCACACTGGCTTCATTGTGTTTTTAAGGTTTATCAGGTCACATTTTATACAAAGACAATAACGAGCTGACTCTTGAGCCAAGCGTCCTGCTGTGACCCATTTTTTATAAATGCTCCACACACACACGCACACACACACACACACACACACACACACACACATTTGTGGCCTGTTTGAGGTTCACCAGAGTTCATAATGAAAGCAGCATTGAGACAGTGGAGGCTTTACCAAACAGTGATGATGGTAATATTTTGCTTTGTGTAAGTGTTATGACACGTACACTGCAGTCCTGTTACACACGTGTGCGGTGATAAGTGAAACACGAAGGGTTACTACTTTCTGCGTGTGCGTGTTTGTTCTTTCTACCGACTGAACAAGATGGAAGATTAAATAATCTGCAGCTTTCAATAAAAAAAGATACACAGTGAAAACCTACCTGGAGAGTTCTGTGGGGAGGAGGCCGGAGAGCAGCGAGGGGAGAAGCTGAAGCTGGGGTGGATGGGGTGAGGCGGAATGTAGGACATGATATCCTCTTCAAATAAACTGAAACAATAAGATCAACCAGAAGCCACAGCACAGGATGTTATTTTCTGTAGCCACATGAAGTAGGAAGTTATTTAGTGAAGAGTCGTGTCAGTTTGACCGAGCGCAAAGTCTGATTGATTTCATGTAGTTCATGAATCTGTGATTGTTTCAGTATTTATTTTCTTGTCACCCAGTCGACATGGCACCACTACGACACATCCTGCAGCTACTGGTCGTGTAGCTCATTTTACATCAGACTGCATCCATGGGTCCAGGTCAAACCACTCTCCCATCCCCAGCTCCAGGGCGAGGCCACGGTGTTCCTGATCAGGACAGGTGTGTTGTCGTCATCACTGGGGTGGTTGAGTCACAGTCCCCCACTCACAACTAATTTGACAAGGAAGACCCCACTGGGAGCAAACTACCCCCGCAGCATAGCTTATTTATTACTGGGATATTATTGGGAGGTCCAATCCCTCCATAAGGTAGAAGTTCACAAAAGTGATACTAACTTTAAGATAATCTTTCACAGAGCGACAACGTTTGGAAATAAATTTGTGACAATAAATTTCAATAAAATATACATTTAGTCAGTTTTTATGTTTCTGATTTCTGAGTGTTTGCACCAAAAACAGAAAAAAACTAACTGAGCAGTGCAGTCACATTTTGCACGGCCAAATTTTTTAAATCGTGTTTTATTTTTGTTTGCACACAAAACTGAATCATTCATCCGAGTCAAAGATCGCCTGGTCAGCTACAAGAAACCCGCTGTTTATCATCTTGGTCTTTTTAAAAAAATCATTAACAGATTGGTTGGTTTGAGGCTCAGCATTCATTTTAGCTGGAAAAGCTCCTTGAAAACAACACTGGTCCTTTTAGAAATGAGCTAATTGTTGCTGGGTTTATACATCAGCTCAGTTTTTAGAGTCTGGACTCACATCAGTGTCATTTATCTACACATCATCATTTTGTAGCGCGATGGATCAGTGGTTAGCATTGTTGCCTCACAGCCAGAAGCCCCTGGGTTCAATCCCCAGTTGGATCCGGGGTCTTTCTGGGTGGAGTTTGCATGTTCTTCTCGTGCATGCGTGGGTTTTCTCCAGATACTCCAATTTCCTCCCACAGACCAAAAACATGCATGTTAGACTGCCTTCAGGTCTCCCTTGCAACTGTGATCTCAATGGGATTTGCTTGATTAAATAAAGGTTAATAAATAATAAATAAATAATTTATGCCCAGATGCTAAATGTCCCCTTCATACAAAAGATGCCTCTTAAAGACAGGAAGTCAGTGCACCTTAAGAGGATGACCAGGTCTGCATCACATGACAGCTTTTCCACACCCTGATTTCCTTCTGTCCGGATGTAGTGGATCTTCTCTCTGACCAGTAACAAGAGAACACATTCATGTGTCAATATGTAATGTAATAATAACCAATCTGCATGAACTCAGTGATAAAATCCTAATTTAATTATATTTACGTTATTCTCTGTTTTACTGATAATACAAATCACAGTGAAGGGTTAGCTCTTCTGTCCATGACCTCTTCTACTCTCATAGACTTTAAAATCAGTGGAAAAATATTTTAGACAGATTTGGATTTACTGAAATATAATTTTCTTGAGCTCAACCTGGTGAACTAATAAATGGTGGCTAAAGTTACCTACATTACATCAGTTAGAAACAGAGCATTTTCAAATCCATCTGCACACATAGAAATAGTCCACGTCAGTTTTTATCACCAGCCACCCAAGATTAAAGAGCAATAATGTTTTTGCCTGTGTCTGATTATTTGTTTGTTTGTCTGTAACAGAATATATTTTGAACCAGACATCAGATTAGAGTAAACTCTCAAAAAGTATTCGAGTATACATCAACAACTCATTAACATTTTGGAATCGACCAATTTCAGGATGGCTTCCAAAACTAAGTGGGCTTAGCAAACATAAATAATGTTATAACTCAGCAGGTTTTACAGATACTGAAGTAGATTTTTGTGTATTATTACTTTAGAGCCATCCTCATCACACTTTCTGAGCAGTAACAAATCTTGAAAGACTAAAACATGAGATTAATGTTATTTACAAGGTATGACCAAAATGGCTACAGTCTAAAACTCTGACATAAATGGTGGCTGGCGTTATGCATTCCATCAAGAAATAACAACTGTTTATTTTATAGAAAACATTTTGAAGAGCAGGCCTACCTCAGTGTGTGGTTTCTGCTCAGGCTGGGTTGTCGCTCCTGCAACATATCGAATATGTTGGGCTGCCGTAGAAAGCCCACGATCTTGTCATTGTAAGCTTTAAAACAAAAACAGAGTGCTTTCAGAATGTGTTAAATCACGCTGTGGACGCGATCAGAAGTCAAACATCAGGTCAGTGCCTACAAAGAGAGGTCAGCTGTTGTGGGTCAGTGTGATGCTGGCTCCGTATGGCTGCTACCAGGCTGTTTCTGGGCCGGGCCATCAGAGAAGCCCCCCAACTCCTGGATACTTCAGACGCCTGAGGACAAACACAGGACACGATGTCAACTGACAGACTGACAACTACCGAAGTAACAAAAGTTTATGGCTGACTTCATATTCTCTCATATACGCCCTCCTAAACAAGCAAACATAAAGTGTAAACAACATTTTCACAAATTTGTTAAAAAGAAAGACATATTCTTTGGAATAGGCCAGTTCAAAAGAAAATGTTTGAGTGAAGCTTTAAATGTGGGATGTGTATGAACTGTATGAAAAAGGTTCAGAGATTTGTAGAAGTACAGTTGAAAGATCGGAGTCTCTCTGTGGTTCGGTCAAAAAATAATCCTGAGAAAAGCAGCAAGAACTCTCAGTAGTGGTTTTCTGTAAGACTATCTTACTCTCATATTCCTGTGGAGGGATTATGACCCACCCTTCTTTCCAGTGTTGCTTCAGCTCATTAAGATTTGCAGACATTGGTTTATGCAATGCTCTCTTAAGATCACAATACAGCATTTCAATTAGGTTGAGATCCTGACTTTGAATGTACCAATGCAACATATTGAATCTTTTCTTTTGTATATTTTTTGTATATGTTGAAGATTTCCTTTGTTTGGGATCATTGTTCTGTTGCATTATGACAAAGTTTGGTTCAAACTTCAGCTGTTGAATAAATGGCCTCACAGTCGGCTCTAGAATCCTTCAACAGAGTAGTTCATGGTTGAATCAATGACTGTAAGGTGCCAAGGTCATGTGGGTGAAAACTAAACCCAAGCATCAGCCCTCTAACACTATTTGTTTATTTGTTTAAGGATCCCCATTAGTTTCTACCGTAGTAGAGACTATTCTTCCCAGGGTCCAAACTTAAAACTTTGCAATTAAATCAAGTTTTGACAAACATACCAAAAGACAATGCTTGACAGATGCTATGAATTGTTTGTGCAGAGAGAACCCAGAAAGGACACATAATCCCTACAATGAGATATGCATATGCACCAGAGTCTCGGAAGGACATGCCCAGAAAATGTCCAGTGGGAGGTGCCCAGGAGGTATAGTAATCAAATACCTGTACCATCACAGCTGACTCCTTACAATGTGGAGAACCAGGGCTTAACTCTGAGTATACCCCACAATGAATGATGGAGCTCTTTACATCATGTCTAAGGCTGAGCCCAGCCATCCTACGGAGGAAGCTCATTTTGGCCACAAATCCAGAATCTGATTCATTCAGTCATGATCTCCATACCTTAGCCATAGGTGAGAGTTGGAAAGTAGATGAGCCAGTGAATCAGGAGCTTTGCATTCCAGCTCAGTTTCTTTTTCACAATAACAAACAAAAGCAATGCCCTCATCACTGCAGACGAGACTCTTATTTATCAATCAACATCTCACTCCATCTCACTATCACTTGTGATCAAGACTTCCAGATATTTGAATTTCTCTGCTTACGGCAGAGACCCATCCCCAAACCAGAAAGAACGTTCCATCTTTTTCCAGTTGAGAATCATGGTCTCAGAGGAGCCATTTTACAGTTAACTGCAAACCTACTCAGTGTATTCTGAAGGTCAGAGCTTGAGGATGTCAACAGAACCATATCATCCACAAAAAGCAGAGCCAAAGCCCCTAGAGTCCCAAACCAGTCATGCTCCTCTCCTGACTTTGTGCTAAGAATGTGGACACAGTGCTGCTTTGATTATACAGGGGACTAGATAGCCCTTAGAAACAACTCTAGCACCCCATATTCTTAAAAGATCCCACATAGAACACAGCTATAAGTCATCTCCAGATCTATAAAACACATGTAGACTAGAGAGGTAATCTCCCATGAGCCCCTTATCAAAGGTGCAAGGGTAAAGATTTATTCCACTGTACCACAATAAATAATGATGTTGTGGAATCTGTTGTGTTTTTCGTACACTTGAGAATAGATTTGATACAGTTTTGATTCTTAACCAGTTAATTATTTTAAGTCCTGATCCATCCATCCATCCATTATCTTTACCCGTTTATTCCATTTTGGGTCACGGGGGTCGCTGGTGCCCATGTCCAGCAATCACTGTGCGAGGGGCGGGGTACACCCTGGATGGGTCGCAAGTCCATCACAGGGACACATAGAGACAAACGAGACAAACAACCATTCACTCTCTCACTCACACCTAGGGACAATTTAGAGTTACCAATCAGCCTAACATGCATGTTTTTGGTCTGTGGGAGGAAACCGGAGTACCCGGAGAAAACCCACGCATGCACGGAGAGAACATGCAAACTCCACCCAGAAGGCCCCTGGACCGGGGTTTGAACCAGGGACCTGTTCGCTGAGAGGCAGCAGCTCTACCAGTTGTGCCACCGTGCTGCCAAGTCCTGATCCATGAAACCCTAAAACAGAGATGGTGGGCTTCATTTCCCATGGTTGTATATTTTTTCAGAGATTAGTGTGATGCAGGGCAGCACGGTGGCGCAACTGGTATTATTATTTATTATTATTATTATTCCCATTAAGATAATATGAAAGCTATGTAGCCATTATCTTTTCTGATGTTTTGAAAATAATGACAAGTAATTTATGTGTGAATGAAAGGGAGGCAAGTGGAACAGTGAGGCTACAATGAGAAGAGTTCATAAAGGTCCAGAACTTTACAGTAAGTATTTAGGACCAACAGTCTGGAAAAATGGGTAGTTTCGTAAAGACGGGAAGAAAAGAATAGTCTTGTCTTATCAGAAAGTTGGAAAAATATCAGTCACAGTGGAGTCTAACTTATGGCAAGAATTGTGTTAGAAAACCATGATGACATTTGTTGCTTCACTAATAAAGAAACAAACAAACAAACAAAAAACCCAGAAGATGCTTGTTGGAGACTTTTGAGACTAATGAAGCCAACCATAGACATATCTCATGGAACTGCTAAGTTATTAGACCTTTTAGGGAACATATTCAAAGATATGTAAAGACCGTTTTTGATTGAAAAATTAAGCTTGACAGTGTCACTATGTACTGGTGATATGAATTGTAAAAACTTGAATTAATATAAGAAACTACTTACTATACTCTTGGCAGCAAGTAAAAAAGTCATCACAATAAAATAGTTCAACTCAAGGCCACCTACCATTAAAGAATAATCAAATTTGGACATGCATATATTTAGAAGGATAAAAAATATCACTTTTCCCTCAGAGTACACAGAGTGAATTTCTTTAAAGTCTGGTCAAAATGGACTGAGTAAGTAAAACCTTTAAGAGGAGATTTCATGTGAAGCTGATTGGTTCATTCACTTTTACATCTGTTTTATTGAATAAAACGATAATTATATATTCAAAAACTAAATTGTCTCCTGGTTTGCACCACTGCAAACTGCAGTTGATTGGCAGTAAAGGTAAGTGGTGTACCTCCCCAGCGCTGTAGCTGCGTAGTCTCTGCAGGTGCTGCTTGTGGGCGAGGTGGCCTGGCAGCCGGCCATTCTGCAGAGGGATTCGAGGGTCAATGAAGGTTGTGGCTCGACTATTGTGGTCCACAAAAAAAGACTGATGAAAAAGACAAAAAAAAAAAAAAAGAATGTAAATATAAATACATACAAGTGAGAATTATTTATGTTACTTTATTCAATTCAAAAGTTATGTTCTAATGACAATGAACTACATTATCAATCCAGGGGTTGACAAAGTGCAGCCAAAACACCCCTATGATGAAAAAAATAAATGGACTCAATGTTCTCTCGCCAGGACGTGGGTCACTGGGGCCCTGCTCTGGAGCCAGACCTGGAGGTGGGGCACACTGGCGAGTGCCTGGTGGCCGGGCTTTTACCCATGGAGCTCGGCCGGGCAAAGCCCAAAGAGGAGATGTGGGTCCCCCTTCCCATGGGCTCACCACCTGTGGGAGGGGCCAAAGAAGTTGGGTGCAATGTGGGATGGGTGGTGGCCGAAGGCGGGGACCTTGGCGGTCTGATCTTTGGCTACAGAAGCTGAATATTGGAACGTGAAATGTCACCTCTCAAGTGGAGAAGGAGCCTGTGCTGGTGTGTGAGGTTGCGAGGTTCCGGTTAGAAATAGTCACACTCACCTCTACGCATGGCTCTGGAACCAGTTTCCTTGAGAAGGTTTGGACACTCTTCCACTCTGGAGTTGCCCCTGGTGAGAGGTGCCGAGCAGGAGTGGGCATACTTGTTGCCTGTATGTTGGGGTTCACCCCAGTGAATGAGAGGGTAGCCTCTCTCTGCTTACGTATGGGGGGACGGGTTCTGACTGTTGTTTGTGCTTATGTACCAAACGGCAGTTCAGATTACCCACCCTTTCTGGGAGTCCTTGGAGGGGGTACTGGAGAGTGCACCTCCTGGGGACTCCCTTGTTCTGCTGGGGGATTTCAAAGTTCACATGGGCAATGACAGTGAGACCTGGAGGGGTGTGGTTGGGAGGAACAGCCCTCCTGATCTGAACCCGAGTGGTGTTCTGTTGTTGGACTTCTGTTCTCATCATGGATTGTCCATGACGAACACCATGTTCAAGCATAACGGTGTCCATATGTGCTCTTGGCACCAGGACACCCTAGGCCGCAGTTTGATTATCGACTTTGTTGTCATCTCATTTGATCTGCGGCTGCATGTCTTGGACACTCGGGTGAAGAGAGGGGCGGAGTTGTCCACTGACCAATACCTGGTGGTGAATTGGCTCCGATGGTGGGGGAGGATGCCGGTCAGACCTGGCAGACCCAAATGTATAGTGAGGGTTTGCTGGGAATGTCTGGCAGAGTTTCTTGTGAGATGGAGCTTTAACTCCCACCTCCGGGAGAACTTCAAACATGTTCCGGGGGAGGTGGGGGACATTGAGTCAGAGTGAGCCATGTTCTGTGCCTCTATTGTCAAGGCAGCTTACCGTAGCTGTGGCCACAAGGTTGTCGGTGCATGTTGCGGTGGCAAGCTTCGAACCCGGTGGTGGACACTGGCAGTGAGGGATACTGTCAGGCTGAAGAAGGAGTTCTATTGGGCCTTTTTGGCCTGTGGGACCCCAGAAGCAGCTGATGGGTACCGGCAGTCCAAGCGACATGCGGCTCGGGTGGTCGCTGAGGCAAAAACTCAGGCATGGGAGGAGTTTGGCGAGGTCATGGAGAATGACTTCCGCATGGCTTTGAGGCAATTCTGGTCCACCATCCAGTGTCTCGGGGGGAAAGCGGTATACCACCAACACTGTTTATAGTGGGGGTGGTGTGCTACTCACCTCAACTCTGGATGTCGTGGGTCGGTGGGCAGAATACTTTGAAGACCTCTTCAATCCCACGGGCACGTCTTCCACTGAGGAAGCGGAGCCTGGGGACTTTGAGTCAGACCCACCAATCTCTGGTGCTGAGATCACCAAGGTTGTTAAAAAGCGCCTCGGTGGCAGGGCCCCAAGGGTGGATGAGATCCAGCCGGAGTTCTTTAAGGCTATGGATGTTGTAGGGTTGTGTTGGCTTACACAACACTGCAATACTGTGTGGACATTGGGGGAAGTTCCCCTGGATTGGCAAACCGGGGCAGTGGTCCCCCATTCAAAAAGGGGGGCCGTAAAGTGTGTTCTAACTACAGAGGAATCACACTCTTAAGCCTCCCTGGTAAAGTCTACTCGGAGGTTCTGGAGAGGAGGGTCCGTCGGATAGTTGAACCTTGGATTCAGGAGGAGCAGTGCGGTTTTCATCCTGTTCGTGGAACACTGGACCAGATCTACACTCAGCAAGGACCTGGAGGTTGCGTGGGAGTTTGCCCAACCAGTCTACATGTGCTTTGTGGACTTGGAGAAGGAGTTTGACCATGTCCCTCAGGGAACCCTGTGGGAGGTACTCTGGGAGTATGGGGTACAAGGCCCTTTGAAATGGGCTGTTATGTCAGTGTATGACTGATGTCAGAGCTTGGTCCGCATTGCCGACAGTAAGTCAGGCTTGTTCCCGGTAAGAGTTGGACTCCGCCAAGGTTGCCCTTTGTCACCGATTCTGTTCATAACTTTTATGGACAGAATTTCTAGGTGCAGCCATGGTGTTGAAGGGATCCGTTTTGGTGGCCTTAGGATCGCATCTCTGCTTTTTGCAGATGATATGGTCATATTGGCTTCATCAGGTCGTGATCTACAGCTTTCGCTGGAGCGGTTCGCAGCAGAGTGTAATGCGGCTGGGATGAAGATCAGTTCCTCCATATTCAAGGCCATGGTCTTGAGCTGGAAAAGGGTAGAGTGCCCTCTCCTGGTCGGGGAGGAGGTCCTGTCCCAAGTGGAGGAGTTCAAGTATCTTGGCGTCTTGTTCACAAATGAGGGAAAAATGGAGAGAGAGATTGATGGGCGGATAGGTGCAGCGTCTGTCATGGTGAAGAGAGAGGTGAATCAAAAGGCGAAGCTCTCAATTTACCGATCATCTACGTTCCTACCCTCATCTATGGTCATGAGCTTTGGGTTGTGACCGAAAGAACGAGATCTCGAATCCAAGCGGCCAAAATGAGTTTTCTCTGCAGGGTGTCTGGGCTTTCCCTTAGAGATAGGGTGAGAAGCTCGGTCATCCGGGAGGGACTCAGAGTAGAGCCGCTGCTTCTCCACGTCGAGAGGAGCCAGTTGAGGTGGCTCGTCATCTGTTTAGGATGCCTCCTGGACACCTCCATGGTGAGGTGTTCCAGAGAATACCACCAGGAGCAGACCCAGAGGAAGACCCAGGACACGCTGGAGGGACTATGTTTCTCGGCTGGCCTGGGAACGCCTCAGGATTCCCCCAAAGAAGCTGGCCCAAGTGGCTGGGGAGAGGGAAGTCTGGGCCTCCCTACTTAAGCTGCTATCCCCACGACCCGACCCCGGATAAGCGGAAGAAAATTCAAAATTCAATTCAATTCAAAAATACTTTATTAATCCCAGAGGGAAATTATTTGTTGTTGTAACTCATCCTCATTTCATTAAGAAATGTTGTAGATGCTGATGGTTGTAGACAGGAAGGATCTCTTGTAAAGGTCCATCCCACAGTGGATCCTAAGAAACTGGCTGCAGATGTCGTCTGATCCGTCCACCCAGACTCGGCTGGCCTCTCGGTTCCCTTGAGCCGTAGGACTGCCCGAATGCCGGGCAGAACTCCTCCCAGAGCGATGGTCACTCCTCCCAGCAGTCTGCCGAGCTCCTTGTTGCTGCGGACAGCCAACTGTAGGTGCCAAGGGATGATCTTGTCCTTCCGCTGTCATGAGTCATGTTTCCTGCTAGTTCCAGGATCTCAGTGGTCAGGCACTCGAGCACAGCTGGCAGGTAGATGAGAATGCGTCCACAGAACATCCTTTTCAATCCATTTGAGATTTGGTGCTGTAGTTGAGATGTTATTTGAGCTTTTGAGATGTTAATCAGCTGCTGTTGGTTGTAGAAAACTGCCTTGTTGCCATGGTTACGCATCATAACAAATGTCCAAAATTAAAAAAGTTTCAGTACAAATCCTTCCAGCTACACAGCATCTGATACCAGAGGAAACACTCATCCAAAAAAATGTGATTTACATCCAGAAAAATAGGAATTAAAGTTTCCAAAAGCAAAATCTCTGAATGAAAGTAACAGAGCTGCTCCAACATGCAGCCACCTTGAGCGGCGCAATTCTAGAACAAATGGATGGATGGGTTGATTCTCATATCATGACAGAGTAGTGTCTATCTGCTTTAGGATATCCTGTCTATGTGTATGGAAAGTCCTACCTTTCCCTGAGGGTCAGTTTTGATTTCCCAGCCTCTGGGCAACTCCAGCTGCGTGTCTACAAACTTGTTGAGGAAGACCACCAAGTCCCTGTTATGCTGGTAGCGCTCAAAGTTCCTGGCATCACGTCGCACCTTCAGTATCATGTGCTTCACACAGCTGCTGCTGGTGAACATACGGTAGGCTGCCTTTAAAGAGAAAGTTCAATTAAAACTGTCAGTTCACTTGAGTGAGAAAAAATATATGTATTTTTATTCTGTATATCATGTGACTAATAATTCATTTTGATTAACAGCACCTGACTCAGCTTACCGGTACTATCACATGCTATATTGTAATAGTCTGTGATGGTAATTAGCAGTTAGATAGCTAGATAGATAAATGTATACTTTATTGTTCCCAAGGGGAAATTTGTCTTGGACATTGTGCGCTAAGCAAATCTTCTTCCACAATTAAGTACACTACAAACAATAAAATCATGTGAGCACCACAATAATATAGAATAAAGTAAAGTTGCAAAATGGAGTCTGTGTTCAAATTTTCCACTTAGTCACTGATGATGTCAGCTATTTGTGTAGTGGTATACAATATTCTAACTGTAATTTTTTATACACCATGTAGTGGCCAATAGAAAACTGGTCAGAGTGTGTAGAAACACTACATTTGGGGAACTAGTCCATGATGCAATGCAGCCTGAGCTGACACAGCAGATATATACATACATACATACATGCACACATTATGAAATGTTTTTTTGACCAGTGTAAACTTAGTGTAAACTTAACTTACTTATAAACTTAGTGTGGGACTAATTAAAGCGGGGATCTGATTAGCTTAGTTTCATGGTTGCTAACAGCTGTGCTAAATAAACAAGCCCCGCTCCACTCACTATTTACTTAGATTATTGGGTGGACAAAGCTCAAAAAATGTCAGCCATTATATCGGTTATTGGCAGTCACCTTCCTCTCCCAATATCGGTATCGACGATATCCAAAATTTCCACATCGGTCAGGCTCTAATATGAAGTACCACTGCATTCAAGTAGTGTTAGAAATATGAACATGGAGCGATTTCCTACCTCCTATATAAAACAGTCCACCATATAATGCCTACAAATGAATTCTTCAAACACACCTGGAGTCTTTCCTTCCCACATAAACTGCATTTGTGTGTTGTTATGAGCAGCACTCACATAGTTACTGTGCAACACAGTAAAGAATTCAGGGTGAGTGATGAACTTGACAGCAGGCGACTGGAGGAGATTGGTCACCTTCTGGTGATTGATGGGAGAAACAGGACCTGTAGAAAGAAACATTCAGTAATTAACAGACTAGTTTCAGTTAAATGACACCTGGGCGGTGCTAGTCTCTACTGGCCAACATGTTTCTGAATGATATCACACAAACCCATTTAATCAGAACACTATAAACTGACTTTCTAGTTAAGTGCAGTTTATTTTGAGTGAGATTATTCCCTCTGTGCTGGAGTATTTTCACTGTATACGACACAGCTGAAGACGTTGACCCACTTCACAGCATCACATCAGACAACAGAATTGCTCATGACTAAAAAGACTGAATCTGACTCTCAGCATTCTGTGTGCAGAACACACTGTAAGTGCTATCAGAGGAGACTGTGCTGTACCTGTCTGAGCAGGCTCAGAGTCGCTGTCTGATCTCTGACTCCCAGAATCCTCTTCTGTAGCCATGGTCCTCTGGATGTTCTGATATCTACAGGATGAACCACAGCAACATGTCAGAGTTTTACTGGTGATACTGGTGAAATCAAAACTCAGTGTGTTCAGATAATCTGTTGAAAAAAAAAAAGGTAATACCAGTTTTGAATACATTTAATTAGCTTTTAGCAGTGGACTAAACCAATTCAAACTTTACAGTCAGAGGCTGAAGATAGAGTTCTCCTCCCAGACACCAGATGTCAGCAAAAATCCACTACATGAACTACTGAGATTATTTAAAATGACTGCTCTGAATCCAAAATACAAAAAACTAGATTAAAGGCTGAGCTCTCCTTCAAGGAATGGCCATCTAAATTCTAAATGCTTATGTCAAACTTTGTAACTGACCTAATGTGTAACCTCAAGAAATACTGTAAGATCTTGTGAGATGCTTCAGCACTCCAAGAATGTGAAGGGAAGATGATCATCTACTACCACATTCAATTTTTGCTCAATATCGGTCAAACTAGCAGAGCCATGGTGGTCTTTTGAATTGTTATCTTAAAAAGTTCATCAGGAATTCTGTTCAGTTGTTCATGAGATATTTTGCTAACAGACCCACAGATAGGCAAAAACATTATCATCTGCTTTTTGTCTTTTGATTGAAATTACAAAACAGAAAAAAAACCCACAAGTAACTTACATCAAATATGCATAATAACTTTTTTAAATAATTTTTTTTTTCTGTTCAGTTCTTATGAGAGATAAACAAATTTCAGAGTTTATTTCTGCAAGACTCCAAAATAAAATAAATAACTTATTGTCACATAAAATGTAACAGGTTTCCTTTGGAGCTGACCTTCGGTTGAGCTGTTCCATCTGTTGAGTGGAACCTGAACGGGAGATCCCGTGGTTACACTTTCCACTGTGGCTCGGCCTCTGCCAGGTAGTGGTCCTGTTGATGTGATCCACATAAAAAACTCTGCCGTGGCTGTCAACACGGGCCTCCCAGTCTGAGAATTAGAAACCACAGTACAGTCAAACTCAATAATGTGGTTATCAAATTGTCCTGTTCGACAACATAAAATCTAAAAACAAATTATACAAAAAAGAAAGAAAGAAACAAAAAAAAAAATCAGACTGCTTTCCAGCTACTGACATAAAGAAATGCAGTATTCCCTCTGAGCTTCAGCAACTAGGGAGCACAAGCCAGAATATCTCTTGTGCTGGTCCCAAGTCTGGTTAAATGGTGAAGGTTGGGTCAGGATGGGCATTCAGCAAACAAAATATTTGCTAAAACAAACATGCAAGTTCATCTAAGCAACACCATATTGGATTAGTCGAGGCCCAGGTTAACAACAACTGTCTCCAGCATGGTTAACAAACGGGACTGGCACCAACTTTCTGTTTGAAAACAACAACCCTTTGGTTTCATCAGCATTTAGCACCCGTTTGACATGGAACAAGTCTGATTGAATGATATCAAATGCAGACTGTAGAAACTGGAAAACCTTGGCAACTGTGTTAACTCGACAATAAACAATTGTATTGTCAGCATAAAGATGCAAGGAGGAATGTTTTGACTTATGCAAATTGTAAAAAGAGTGGGTCCTCAAACTGAGCCTTGTGGCACACCATTACTTTTTCAGTCAACCTTTATTTAGACAGATAAGTCACATTGAGCCTAGAAGACTCATTAACAAGTGAGATCTGTTTAGACAGACAAAAAGCAGTGAAACTGGACACATGTAGGAATTGGAGGCAAAAAAATTCCTATCAGACTTTTATTTTCCTTCATGAGAAGAAAAAACTCTGATATTGAAAAACTCTCCACACAAACAAGCACATAGTGACATAGACATTCTGTAGAGGGGGGAGATGACGAGAGCGGTGAGCATGCCCATAGACGCTCTCGAGGGCACTGCAAGAGTTCTGATAAGGATGTAATAATCAGCCTGTTTCCTCCGGTGAGATCCGTAAACATTCTCAAGGTATGTTGGGGAATGGCCAAGAATAACGACTATGAGGATCCAAGAGTCCTGAAATGATGACACAAAGTTTATTCAGCTGGTTTAATCTGGCTATCAGTTAGAAATTCCTCAGGGAGGGGGTGGTGAGCGTCAGATCACATGTTCTCCAGGCAAATTCAGATAAGATGGCCTTCAAGGCCAGCTGAGGGTGCCAAATTCAGATAAACACACAGTTGTTTTGGGGACAGGCAGAACTTAATGACATCTACCTTGAGTCTGTGTTGGTCCACTCGGTTCCGAAATGTCCAAATTACAAGGCCACACCGATGGAACGTGACTGAGCAAAATCCCTAAGATCTGATCCATTCTGCCCAAAGTATTTGAGTCTGGGTACTCGAGGCACGAACCAAGCCATCATAAAGGCAGCGTGATAGGGTCCAAATTTGCTGCCGACAACTTCCTTGACTGTTGATAAAACCAGCAACCAGACGAATTCAAAAAGAAGGAACAAGTTATCGTAAATCCAATTAAATATGCGTCCTTAAAATCCACAAATGGCAGCAGAGACAGACACATCATCAAGTCTTCCAAGTCAATGAGATATCCAGCTGCGTGCGTGCCAACAGGACAAATTGGCTCGCCTAAAGCCTGTCTTCTCTTCGAAGAAATGTTATCAATTGTGTTGAGGGACCAACTGATTAAAACAAGTCCATAATTATGGTTCGGAAGAGATGTAGAGAGGCTCAGAAGCAGTTTCACAGACAGACAGAGCAGCAAAACAATGCGGAGAGGGAGGGAGATGCGTCCGATCTCGGCAAGAGCAAGCGGTGATTGTTAAATAGCTAGACAAAGTACCATTGTCTTGAACACATTGTCTCCAACCTGAGAAATAGTTAGAAAACCTGAGATAGTGAGATTAGAC